ATTATAAGAAAAATCGAACTAAATAATAGAAAAATTACCATAAAATAAACACAATAAACACAATTTATTTATGAGTTTCATTATTTTAGAGGTTACGTTGAAATAATAATAAAGAATAGGAATGTGCACGTAATCGATGTCGACGTCCAACTTTCTTAATATGCGGAATTTAAAATTGAAACTTTCGGGATACGTAAAAGGCCACTAAGGCTACTTAAATCTACCCTCAAACTTGGGTTACATACGCAGGCTTTATAAGAAAAAAATTAATTTCGATTAAGGGCTTTTTTAGGAGCTGAGGCCGTACCGCCCTTATTGGCAGGATTCTCAACATGAAATTTTTAGGGTAGATGGAGGGTCCATAGGGCTACCTAAATTTTCCCTCAAACTTGGGTTACATACGCAGGCTTTATGTAGGGTTTCCATAAAGGTTTTTCGTAATTCAGGACAAAGGAGTCAAGAAATCCGGACAAAAACCGGACAAAATCCGGACTTTGCCGAAATAGCTATTGAGAGTGTGTAAAGTGAAAGGCGATTGCGACAAAATTCACATTTGTGAAAAAAGGTTCACTTTACACACGTATTGCATGATATACAAAAATTTTCTACTACCAATAAAATATGTATAAGAAAATAAATTTAGACAAATACTTTACGCACTATTGCCTAAAGTAAAGTAATTTACTAGAAGAAAATTACAGTGTCGACATCTGTCATTGACATTACTTCACGCACTAGTAGGCAATTTTTCGCGATGATAATCAAGCATAATCTAATTATGCCATGCTGGGTTATGTGATGTGTCAACTGTGTCATACTTCCGTAACTTTTTCTCCATTCAATTCTGGGCCTGCGCGTGACGTCACTATCAGCAGCTTATAGTGATAACGTCACCCGCAGACCACGATGGAATGCTTGCGATTCAGGCTGTGCTAGTGAGTTAATTGTTTCGTCGATTTCGAGGGGCAAACCACTCCTCTAAAAAATGTACATGTATTGCCGAAATCCTATGATTTCTTGGCAATCATTGCGATTTCCAAGGCTGCCATGAGAATTTAAGGGATTTCGGAGATTGCCATGAAAATCTAAATGATTTCCAAGATTGCGGAAATAATCGCAATGATTTCCAAGACTGCGGGACTGCAAAATGATTATTGCAGGACTGCGGAAGGGATTGCGAAAGGAATATTTGAGAAAAATTTAAACTAGTGAAACTGCTTAATTTTTATTTCAAACCACAAAATTCGAAGAAATACATGTAGTACACACTGCAACTCCATATTATAAAATAAATTCCCTGTAGTTTTGATCATCTGTGATATAAATTTACAGTATGTCCTCGTGTGTCAATGAAGTTAGTGGCATTAATGTCTGCATGCCACTAAATTAATTGACACATTATATAATAAAATTATCTTAGAAATAAAGGTATTTTTCGCACTTCCGGGACTAAAGTGACAACTTCACTCCCTGTTGAGAGTGACTGAAGTGTCCCTTTTAATCCCTCCGGGATTTTCGTCGATATTTAATCCCGGAGGGATTAAATGTCGGAGGGATTAAAAAGTGCGAAAAGTATCGTATATACCTTGGGATTGAAGTAATTTTAATCCCTCAGGTAAATTATGGCCCTCCCTACGGTCAGGCCATAAACTTTACCTTCGGGATTAAAAGTAGTATGTACTTCAGTCCCGCGGTATATAATATACCGTAAACCGGGGCTACTTTGACACTTCGGGTTACTTTGACACATATTGAGGCTACTTTGACACCCTTACTTTTTCTGTGGTTTTCGCATGTTTGTAACGGGCCAAAATTGCATAAACATTTCTTACCTACTTTCAATTTTATATTCAAGATTTCCTTAAGTTTTTCAACATTTTCTCTCAATTTCAATTGTCGTCAGATTTCCTAATTTTCCATAGTCAAATTCTATTTGCTGTGATAGTTTTTTTTTCCTCATTTTAATCCATATTTTACTTCAATTCTAAATCAAAACAAAGCAATGTTTTGATTACTATTTTAAATTCGATCATCTGTTTCATCCAAAAATAATTAATTCATCTGTCAAAAGTATGTCGTGTTCCGTAATCGTGATGTACCGTTTTCAAGTGGGTGTACCGTTCGTACTAACTGTTCCGGTTGTGTAGCGCTATCGATCTCGACGCAAATTCGAGCGAACCCAGAGTTGCGCATTGGTTCGATGTTCTTTGAGACATCTGGAACGCACCCTTTGATTTCGTTTCTTTGACTTTTGATTGTCAAAAATTTCTGTCAACCAGCGGTGGAGTAGTGATGTTTTCAGTATCGTCGATTCTTCCTTGAGCTCTCTAATTTTGAAAACGGAACACTTACTATATTTTGTATTCTTCAAGTTTTGATTGTTTTATGGGATAATTATTGGTTGTTGATATCATTATTCATCAGCCGTTGTTATTTTTCTCAGTTTATATTGTTGTGTGCAATTTTTGGTAAGTGGGAATTCTGTCGATTGGTTGTTGTTGTTTGTCGTTGTTCTCGATCATCTCTAAGTCTGAATTCCTTCCTTTGGTTAAGGTTAGTTTATTAATTGAATGTGGAGCACATTTTCTTTCACATCTGGACGTTGGAGAATTAGGGTCTTTATGAAGATTGTCTTCGCCTTTTTGGGATTTCGACCCTAAATTCTCATTTGAAGTTATAACATTTTAGTTGCCTTCATGCCTTACGTTTTCGTAGTGTTATAATTTTCGCCGATTTATTCGGATTTTTACAACTCCATGTGTGGTAAGCTGCTTACACGTTTTTTTTCCTATAGTAGATTCTGACTTTTTCAATTTAATTTAGTTGAAAGCTGCCCTAAGGAGTAGAGAATTCTCACTCTCTCTAGGAAATCCAATCCTCGATCCAGATTTCCGGAGATTTTCGAGGCCGACACCCTAATTCCATCAGGTAAAAAAAAACATAACCTTATAACAATTTTTGCAAACTCAAGACACATTTTTCTCAATTGCTATCAAAGCCTTATTATGATTTCATCTGATTTAATTAATTAATACCTTAATGTTCAATTTTTCTATTAAAATAATTTTCAAGAGCTATAGTTTTTTTATCAAGTAAACTTGCTATTAGAAACTAATCATTATAGTTTCATTTTTTTTCTTATTGATTCAATTTATTCATGAAGTGCTTCCCTATTGGTTCAATTACAAATACAGTGTGTATAACAGTTTTTCTCTTAGGGTTCTTTCACGAGGGTTTTTCTTTCACGAGGGTTCTTTCACGAGGGGTTATACTTTACCATCAAGTTTACCTCACGGTTACTACAATAGACGTTCAATTGTAACCGAAATTGAACCAAAAGGCTAATAGACACCAGCCTAAGTAATTGGACGGTTACTCAGGTTTTCAATCCACTTAACCACAACCAGTAGCCAGGACTAATCTGGTTCATTGTGTCTACTACTACTACTACCTGGAACATTTTGGTATCGTACTAGTTTTAGTTATCCTACTTATTATTATTGTTTATGTACATTCTGTCCCTATTTGTACACCCCGGTGATCACCTCGGTATTTCAGGGAATAATTCATTGCTTGCCCCCAGTGTGGTAAATGAATTACTAAATAGGTAACTTAACTAGACATAACCTGTTGAATTTATGTCAACTTACTGGTAGTTCTGGTTACATAAGTGTAAAATAACCGCTCCAACTTATTATTCATTAATTTATTGTTTTTTTTTTGTTTTGTTTTATTTTTTTCCTCTTCAATTTATATTTGCAACTTCTCTATCTGTACATTTTTTTTTTATTATTCATTTGGGTTATTGAGTTTCAATAACATATTTTTGCATTTAAATTTAATTGTTCTTGACTATAGCAATTATTTAAAAACGTATAGCATTTCTGTATCTGTTGGTTGACACTTCATGACAAGGTCATTTTATTAATTGCTAATTTACTTGATTATTATTATTTTTTTTTTTTCTTCTCTTAAATTCAAATTACTGTTCATTGTGGTCTGCGGCCATTTGGTGAATAAATAACTGTAGCACTTGATTTCTTGACTTTTATTTGGTTTTATGCACACAGCCTGGTTTTTGCTAATATTTTTATTTTTATTAATTATTATTTGGATTGTAAGGACCTGAAGCCAGATACCATCCTGGAGAGTCCGACTCATCTGTTCAGAGTCGGTGGCGCCCAAAACTAAAACCCACCCCTACTCTCCGAACCTTCAGTCCTACAATCTCAAGTTCCTTATTCATTTATTTTTATTTTTATTCTTCTTTTAATTTTCATTATTTTTATTTTATTTTTTTTTATTTTAAACTTTAATTTTTTATCAGCGAAAAAGCGTGGCATGTTTTGCTCATTTAAAGGTTAGGTATGTTGATGTTTTGAGTTTGTAGGTTAGGTAACGTATTGACAGCTGATTTTAATAATTCAAATCACAATTATTCGAGCAATTATTGTAGTAGGTAATTATCTACTCGTTACCATGGTTCGCGTTTACAAACGAAAGTTAGGTGCCTGCGGCTATAAAAATTATTCAGACGACTGAAAGAAGCGTTTGTTGATGTTTTAAGCTGTTGGGAAGTGAAGTATTTTTATTTTGTAAGAAAATTAAGAATTTTATTTTTTATTTAGTTACCTACCTAGGTATACCGGCTGTATTCGTTGTTTTTCTTTATCGAATAAAGTTTATTTTAAGCTGAAAATGTCTTTTTTTTTCATTCTTGGGTGTCAAAGTAACCCCACGCTTGCTTAACTTTGACTTTCTGCGCAAATAGACACTATGTCAAAATAGCCCCACACGCGGGGTTACTTTGACACCAAATTCACATATTTTTTTTTATATACCTGTGACCTTGGGGCAATTTTTTTTGTGGGGGTTCGAAAGAGGAAGGATCAATTGGTTTGATGGTTATATTTAATAGTATAATAGTCAGCAGTTCAAAAGTGTACATAGAAAAAACCCTGAAAACTATGTCAAAGTAGCCACGGTTTACGGTACTATTTTTATTTTTTTAAATCTTGTTCTCTACTTTTAAGCTCCCTATAGGATTTTTCAATTTTTACTTTATCAAACCGTTTTAGTCGGAATGGTCCATTGCCAATTAATTTTATTGGTCCATAAAATATGTATTTTTTTTCAACAATTTGTATGTCATCTTCCCTGGGCCAAACATACTCATAAAGTTCAGACTTCAGAAATTTAATTTTGGAGGTTTCTTGATCTAAAATTTCTAGAACACGTCCAATATACCAAGTGTCATATAAAACAGCATAATAGTTTTCACAACTAAAGTCAGAAATTGCTTCTTTTGAACTTGTCAAACTTGGTAACTCTTCATCAAGATCTTCATTATCTGTAAGTTCTTCCAAGCCACTTGAAGACCTATCTGCATAGCTATCAGGCTCGTCTTCAGAGGAAGAAGTGTCAAAATCCTTATTATTTTCCAATTTTTTCTTAGGTTTAGCTTTAAATATTCTCTTCCCTGCATTCCTTGAAATCTTTTTGAATGTTTTTCCTGAGGCTTCTCCTTTACTACTCATTCCTCTGCACCGTATTCGTCTGTCGGATGACAGTTTTCCCTTCTTATCGAAAAATAGCCAACATAAAGTAGATTTTCTAACTATCATATTTTTGTTGTTTACTGTGATGCTAAGTCGAGAATTATCAGAATGCGTCTTATTTTTGCCATCATTATAGTCCTTGATTTTCAAGTTCTGAAAATCATTAAAAATGTTCAATTCTTCTTCAATTTCTACCAGATCTTCTTGGTTTATTTCATTGCCCATATTTTGGGGGTCAATTTGTCCAACTTCTGTTTCTAAATCGGCTTCTTCATCAGGAACATTTGTTGAATCACCTATTGGAGGTAGAGATATTCAGGCCTATGATGTATCCTCTCCTGTTATTTCAACAGTCGTGTTATAGCTCAAAATCTATACCTGTCTCTATTTTTACGTGTAGAATAAACAATGACAGATAACTTAACGTTGCTGTTAAAATAACAGGAAATGATACATCATAGGCCTGATTGTTTCCAAGGCAGATTTTATCAACTCGTCAGGAAGCAACATATTTAAGTTTTTGGCACTGGTAATCGCTTCAAGTTTTGCATTCTCCATTATAATTTTAATCTCTTCAACAGTCGGAAGAATATTGTGACAAGGTGGATTGGTCGCTAGTCTTTTATTTTCTTCTCTCGGAAATATGAACACTGCATCGTTCTTGGCATCATTACCTATAAAATATATAATCTATTTATAATAATAATATCAAGCGAAATATCAGGTATCCTAAAAGGACCAAATAAGCCTCTTATTATCTTAAAAAAAAGGTTGTACCAAGTATTTCATATTTGCAGAGATATTTCCATTATGTTAGTATATGAATGCATTATTCTATTGCACTGGCTGGTCTTTTTGGGACACCTATTATAATATCATTTACCTGATTTGTTCATCGCGTCGCTTACAATATCGTTTATGCATTGAATCCTATGTCGCCGTTGAAGAAGGTCCAATAAATCAAAATTAACCATGATGAGATAAGTGGAGGTCATAGAGCGCGTCTGTCTAAAAAATTTTTCGCAGGGTTGACTACTGCACAGCCAAGGTAAAAATGCATCTGCCGTGTCACTGCTTCTACATTTTTCAATAAGTAATAATAATGAATGAGCATTTATTTCGATGCAAGTGTAAGTATTTAGGGTAAGCCAGTTTTTGCTTAAAGTATATTTTTCATCGTGTTTTATCCAGTTTCTCCACAAACGTATGAAAAACGTCACGTACCAAATTAAATACACACGCCGCTCCACTTTTAATGATTTGTCTATAAATGAATCTAATATAGCCCTTGTAAGTACAAGCAGTTGTCGTGTGGCTTTGTATTGCTCATTTTGGAGTAACAAGTCTGTAACACAAGAAGCTGACAGTTTATCTATGGCTTCGAAATTCATTTTGTCCAGTCCTGCAAGTAAAAGAAATTTTATAGAAAAAATGTAAATACATGGCCACACTTATATTATTTTAGCAGTTATTATCATACTGGACTTTATTAATCTAGAAGCAAAATTCAGTATAAATCAGTAGATACCTCGGTAGATGCCAAGCTAATAAATATGCTTACTTCTTGAATTACCTTGATGCTTACCTTCTAAATCACCGGAATTTAGTAGATGCTTATCTTTTGAAAAATCCTTTATAAGAGATGATAAATGGTCGCTAGAAACAAAATACGTCCCCATCGGCAAAATAATATTTTTTTTCAGCAATCTGGTTTCTATTTTCGTCGCAATATGTATAGTGTCTTGAAATACACATGGTTTTTCCTCGGGTTTTTCTATTGCGTAGTTAATCTATAATATTTAAAAAAAGTAAACATCCACATTACACATAAATCTCTATTATAAAACATACCTGGAAATATGGCGAGTATGGATTATCCACAGTTGAAAGAGATGGAACGCCACCTAGCAACTTCATGGCCCTAAGACATCTAGTATCACCATCTGATGAAAATCCCTCGATACTTATATTTCTCTTTTTGGCTTCATCTGAGATATATTTCCATCTGTGAAGGACATCTTCTGAGGTGAAACGGTTGTCGGAACCAAAAATTGATATGCAGAAGGCTAGGGCCCCATCCACTAATGGTTGGGCCATATAAACGTAAGCATTGTTTGAACAATCTGTGTTTTCTATTGAATTTTTTATATATTTCACTGAATTCACTTTATATTGATTTTCTAATGGAAAACCATTTATTTTAGAAATTTTGGGAACACATCCAACAAGTTGATTAGTTGTAGGATTATAACGAACCCTTTTAACAATTGCCGTTTGGTCTTCAGATATAATCACTTTCAGCGGATAACCTCTTTTCTCTAGATATAGTTTTAACTGGTCAATATTAAGGTCGCCTTCAGCACATTTTCCAAATTTAGTTAAGGTTCGGTTTAAAGTTGTGATAGATGGTAATCCACTATCCATATTTGCATAAAGAGTTTCATATGCTAAACGACCAGATGTAATAAAAACGTACAAAGTTTTTTAAATTCCTCAGAAAATCTGTTTCCTCCTCTATCTTTACCTTTTGTATTTCGAAGTGCAGCTCTCTTTAACATTTCGAATTCCCCCCATTCTCCGATTTATTCTTTTTCATAGCTTCCATGCCAGTTATTGGAATGGTTTCATTTGCCACATTTGAGGCTAACTGAAATTGTTCATTAACGATAGCGTCAGAAGATATTTTTTTCTTTAGTTTTTCGCAGAAATCAAAGAAAAATGTAAGTTTAAGTTGATTTTCATCCAAGTTTAGTTGCCTTTTCGTGAAAGATCTGTCTCTTCTGCTTGGCGTAAGACTCGGCGTAAGATTATTCTTTTGAGGAGCAACAACAAACTCATCACTCTTTTTTGCAGAATTGCTAACCGTGCTTCCGGCCTCCTCAATAGCAATTCTGCCCCCACAAAAATTTTCTTCCGATATTTCACCCAAGATTTCACCATTGAGATTATCTGAGGAAATGCCATCTTTGTTCTGGCCTGAAATCATAGGGTCTGTATCGAGGTCTGTACTCGGGCGAGTACTCGGGTCTGTATTTAAAGTTATAACAAAAACATCTCGGGATTTCTTTGCATTATATTATGCTGACGGTCACTATTAAGAGGCTGTGTAACAACCTGCGTAAGATCTAGTTCCTGCTCTAATTCATTTATATCCGAGTTTATATCTGTTATTTGTATAGTTGAGGGATTATCTTGCATTTCCTTTGCATCTTCGTTTCCTTTCAGAAAAGAAATTATTGTATTGACTAATTTTTTATTTTTTGGAGGCGCGTTCTGAAAAGGAACCTGCTTTGCTTTGGAATTTTTTTTGAAATGTGTTTTGAAATGTCGATTTACATTAGAAAGCACCCATTTTTTTCGATTATTTTCTAACTTGCAATATGCTTTAGAAACAAATTCGCATTTTACGCATTGAACTAATGCGCAATGGTCTTTAACTTCTACTTTCATTTTTTCTAAAGCTAAAGTAGTCGCATTTTTCTCTTCCTCATTATTTAAAGTATTTAGAAACTTTTTTTGGTAAGAGGTGACAACGTGTTTAACGTGGTCAATAATGTTTTGAGTTTGAATCGTATCCTCGTCCGTATCTATCAATAATTCGCTTGATGAATTTAAATCTTCTGAAGAAATAATTTCTTTACTTGTTGACGCATCAGTTACTTTTATAATTTTGCGCTTCTTATTTGAATTATTGGACACAATTGCGGATCTTTTTCGAGGAATATTCAGAGACTGTTTTTTTTCTGATTCAAGTTTGTATTTACATGCTTTTATTAATAATGCGAGAATTTTTTTGTGTCCCTCAACTATCTTGAACATAGGTATATTTCTTGAATATATACCAAAAAAATTTAGTTTCTCTTCATCATTGAATAACAAAGCCAAATCGTTTTTAGCAAAATCTTCGAGTTTTTTATAATCTTCTTCTTCAAATAAAGCTAGGGCAGTAATATTATCAAATCCCGTATATTCAAGGAGATCTATTAGATATGTCGGAATATCAAAAGTTAGTTTTAATTTACTTAAAACTTTTCTTAGTCCCGTCAGCGTCATAGTGTCTACCACTTCAGCTCCTGCTTCAGCCATTTCTAAAAGTTACCAGAGGTTATATTATAGACCCTGTTTTGAATCCAAATAAAATTAAAAAAAATCAATGCTGAAATCTTTGAGCTAATAAAAACTAATAGTTGAAAAAATAATAGGTAGGTAAGGTTGGTAATAAAAAAATTATTGGCCAAAGTTACAATCAAGCAATGGTAAAATTAATCTACTACTAGAAGTTGCTAAAAGGAATAAACCAAAACGTAGTTGTGAGGATACAGCCAAAAAAAATCTTTTTGATGTGTAAACATCCATCGCGGGACGCGGCCCTATTTACTTAGGAAATCGGATGGAAACTGTGAAATCGGATGAGACACCATAACGCATGCGCCAGTGATTAGTGCGCAGCTATTATTATACTTCAGAGCTTGCGGCCTAGATTTTCATGTCAACGATCAAGGTTAATTTTAAGAGGAGGTTACGTAATTCCTTTTTTTTTATGTCTGTGTGCTGCTCACGAGATGTTTACATTGTTTACACATCAGTGTCCCGAGAACTAGCAGATAGTACGCTCGCTCTTTTTTATAAATAAATATTTTTTGAATTAATAATAATTGCTTCTTCATGTTACTACCGAATAAAAGAGTAAATAAAATTTTGATTTTAAATTATTAAATAACAAATAATTACTAATAAAAAACTCACAACCTATTTGATTATTAATTTATCTACATTTTTTTATTTTTGTTATGTATAGTTGTAACCTCGGTTGTGAGGAAGCAGTTCTATTCTCTAGATAGGATATTGTTTTAATTTGATTTATTGTTTATTTCAGTTTATTTTAGTTAGGTATTGAAAATTAAAATATGTATTGATTTTTGTACTTACCAATAAAATAACTATTTAACTACAAAAATACTCTAATAGAACACAAAATATAGATTAAAAAACCGGTTTCTCTAAATTTCTGATAACCTCAAAGGCGCTGAAACATTCCAGAATATTACCACCACCACCGCGATTTCCAACGATTTCTGAGACTGCGAGAGATTGCGCGATTGCCACATTGATTTCGAGCAATTTCAGAGGCTACGACAAGAAATTTAGACACGCCCCTTTGACCGCATTCACGAGATTTCTGCGACTGCGAACATGATTTCCGCGACTGCGAACATGATTTCCGGGACTGCCATCGTGATTTCTGCGAATGCGAAGAAGAATGCGGGATTTCGGGCTATTTTGGCGACTGTCTAACGAAGACTGCGTGATTTCCTTGTGATTTCGGAGAAATTTTAATAAAATGTACATGTATTGCGGGGAGTGGTTTGCCCCTCGGTCGATTTTAAATGTAGAAAAGGTGATTTTCGGTCTGCTGTTCTCACAGAAGAAGTTTAGTGTTCTTGATCCTCGAGTATCTCAGAATTTGATGATGGGTGAGTTAGGGGAGTATCACAACCGGAGCATGACACAATTGACATATCACATAATCTAGCATACTTGAGTATGCCTGGTTATCCTCGCGAAAAATTGCCTAATGACCCTAGTGTGTAAAGTGACTTACTTTACGTACTAATGCGCGAAGTGAAATTTTACGTCTTTTGGATTGTGCGTAAACTGAGTATGAGACAGTATGAGTGTTTTCACGATCTCCGAGTTTTCCGGACATTGTTCCGAATTCCGGCCGGACTTCCCCGGACACCCTAAAAACCCAAACATGTCCGGGTTAATCCGGACGTATGGAAACCCCAGCTTTATGAGAAAAAAAAATAATTTCGATTTAGGGCCTAATTAGGAGCTGAGGCCGTACCGCCCTTATTGGCAGGATTCTTAACATGAAATTTTTAGGGTAGATGCAGGGTCCATAGGGCTACCTAAATCTACCCTCAAACTTGGGTTACATACGCAGGCTTTATGAGAAAAAAATAATAATTTCGATTTAGGGCCTAATTAGGAGCTGAGGCCGTACCGCCCTTATTGGCAGGATTGTTAACATGAAATTTTCAGGGTAGATGGAGGGTCCATAGGGCTACCTAAATCTACCCTCAAACTTGGGTTACATACGCAGGCTTTATGAGAAAAAAAAAATAATTTCGATTTAGGGCCTAATTAGGAGCTGAGGCCGTACCGCCCTTATTGGCAGGATTCTCAACATGAAATTTTTAGGGTAGATGGAGGGTCCATAGGGCTACCTAAATCTACCCTCAAACTTGGGTTACATACGCAGGCTTTATGAGAAAAAAAAAAATTTCGATTTAGGGCCTAATTAGAAGCTGAGGCCGTACCGCCCTTATTGGCAGGATTCTCAACATGAAATTTTTAGGGTAGATGGAGGGTCCATAGGGCTACCTAAATCTACCCTCAGACTTGGGTTACATATGCAGACTTTATAAGAAAAAAATTAATTTCGATTAAGGGCCTAATTAGGAGCTGAGGCCGTACCGCCCTTATTGGCAGGATTCTCAACATGAAATTTTTAGGGTAGATGGAGGGTCCATAGGGCTACCTAAATCTACCCTCAAACTTGGGTTACATACGCAGGCTTTATGAGAAAAAAAAAATTTCGATTTAGGGCCTAATTAGAAGCTGAGGCCGTACCGCCCTTATTGGCAGGATTCTCAACATGAAATTTTTAGGGTAGATGGAGGGTCCATAGGGCTACCTAAATCTACCCTCAGACTTGGGTTACATATGCAGACTTTATAAGAAAAAAATTAATTTCGATTAAGGGCCTAATTAGGAGCTGAGGCCGTACCGCCCTTATTGGCAGGATTCTCAACATGAAATTTTTAGGGTAGATGGAGGGTCCATAGGGCTACCTAAATCTACCCTCAAACTTGGGTTACATACGCAGGCTTTATAAGAAAAAAATTAATTTCGATTAAGGGCCTAATTAGGAGCTGAGGCCGTACCGCCGTTATTGGCAGGATTCTCAACATAAAATGTTTAGGGTAGATGGAGGGTCCATAGGGCTACCTAAATCTACCCTCAAACTTGGGTTACATACGCAGGCTTTATAAGAAAAAAAATTAATTTCGATTAAGGGCCTAATTAGGAGCTGAGGCCGTACCGCCCTTATTGGCAGGATTCTCAACATGAAATTTTTAGTGTAGATAGAGGGTCCATAGGGCTACCTAAATCTACCCTCAAATGTTTGTTGAGATCTTGGGTAATGGGAAAGGAGACAAAGACCAACTATTCTCTGGCGACGTTTCGTATATTACATCTATACTTTTTCAAGCCCTGAAAGGCAACAAACAATAATTTTAAAAACATTATTATAAAAACAATCACATTAGGTTTTAGGCTCATTTTTTATATAAAAAGTATCACTTTTATCTAGGAATTTTTGTTTATGTAAGACTTACTCAAATATGCAGTCAACTCCATTTGTGAGAGATATCGGGCAAGGTACACATTTTGCTCTTTATGTAAATAATGGTGGATTACTAATAATTTTCATATTACAGGCAATTTTGAGTTCGAAATTATTTCCTTCTAATTATTTTTTTCAAAATTTCAGCACGCTTTGATTTTAATTTTAATTCAGGCTTTGTGGTTATGATGTTTTGTGTTGTCATTAATCATTCTTGACGTATACATCAAATGCCTATTCTCTTTTAAACTGTTGTGCTAGAAAGAGACGAAAATATAATTAGCAACAAAGGTATATGCATCAGACGATTTCGCCACGTTTTGGTAACCCACTTTGGTTGGTCAAAAATGTACCAACCAATTTCGGCACGAAAAACAATGACGTCACGATAACTTTGGTATCTATTTTGGTCTGTCAAATTGGGTACCGAGCTTGGAGCACGGTTATTTGAATTGGTAGCTTGCTCTCTCTCTCTAATTTGGAGTAATTTAACCTCACTTTTTTGTTTATGTTATATTTAATTAAACGATTTTTTTCACTGTTTGATGAGTTTCAAAAATGTTGATTTAATTTGATTTAGAATTAAAAAAAATTTAAAATGAGCGTGGGCAACAAACAACACTCAAATGGGGTCTCATTCCTAATTAATGGAAAACATTTAACTTTTTTCGAGTGCAACGAAGTTTGTGTACTATTAATAGAAGGTAAGCAGCATAATTTTTTTTATTTTTGTTCTGTTGTACTAGACTATTAGGCCCTCAATTAGACTATAACAATTATCTATTTTGAATATATCCTTGTTGCAAATATCCTTTGATATTTGCAATATAAATAATCCATTTTACCACACTCTATAAAAGAATAATTAATTATTGAAGGCAAGGGATAATTTTCTCGAAATATCCTATTCTGTTCCGATTTATGATTGATGTGTAGTTAGATTAGTTTCTGGATTCAATATAAAATAGGTATACCTATATGGTGAGATGGATCATGAAAAGTATCAGGGTGTTTTCTGTTTTCAACGAATGATTTACACTTTCTACCTATTTCTAATATTATCATATTATTGTTCTGCAATTTTAAGATGATGCTTTTGCAATTGATTACATACTACGGGCCACTTTATCTGGACAATTAGCAGCACATGGAGTCAGCCCTGAACAAGCAGATTCATTAGATATTGTACGAACTGCTCAGCAAGCTTTCTGCAATTTGACAGCCACTTCAGAAGATAATGTAAATATATGATATATTATTATTTTTGTTCTTAACTTCCATTTATTGATTTGCAAATACATTCTTATGGCTATTTGCATTGATCATTTTAAGGAACCCTTGGCGATAAGTGCCCCTTAAAATGACATTTTACGTGGATAAATGTCACTTTAATACTTATCGCTAAGGCTTTCTCAAAATGGTCGGTGCAAACGGCCATTAGTGTTTCTGATTTGATGTACATTAACATTCTAAGAACATGAGCCATAGTAAAATGCACTTTAAAAAGAAATCTAAATATATCATACTTATTGTTCTATAAAATAAGTAGCTATTTTTCTTTTTCTTCTTTCCTTTTTTAGAACTTCACATTATTGAAAGTGAGAGCTCACCCAGCCTTCCCCAGTTTTCCCAAACTTTTCAGCTTAGTTCTCAGCTAACAACAGGTATAATCAGTTTACTTAATTTGTATGATAATGGTGTTAAAATAATCACGAACATTTCAGTCTTGATTTCAGAGCTTCTCCAATTAGTCAGACATATTTATTACCTATTCTTTTCTACTTCATTTTAATAGCGCTGACTGGTTGGTGATTGTTGCATGAGCAATACTAATTTTATTAACAACACAATTGTTTTTTAGAAGTAGAAAAAAGAAAAAGAAAA